ACATTCACTTAAGGGGAACTGGGGATATGTATCAGCTGCTTGTGTGACAGTCAGACAGTGAATACTTTAGAGCCGTGTGAGCTAACCCGGAGCTAACGGGAGAATAAACTCCCGTGGAAGAGCAGCCAGCACTGCAGCGGTCGGTAAATGCCGCTGAAACACATTAATAAACAATGAACCACGGCACTCTGGAGAAAAGTATAAGGTTGGAGAAGTCGTTATTTAATTTAATCTGGCTTCATATGATTAAAAGCAACACGATCATCGACCCGACGCAGTCCCCCCCCGTTGTTGTTGTGAGCTCCGTTGGGAAGAAAATCAGCGATGTAAACGGTGACGTCATGACGCAGCAGCGGCAGCTGGGCGGTGTGAACAGAGCGGGAGCTGAAAAGGGAAACCGGAGCTGAACCAGAAAAGCTCTAGCTAGGAGCTAGAAAGGGAAAAGCGCTGGTGTGAAAGCCGCATAAGTGACGTAACGGATTGGTCCATTTGGACCAATCCGTGTGGCTCCTCACACACACACACACTTACTCGGCCTTATTTTTCTCAGCTGCAGCTCTGCGGATTTCTCAGCCTGAGACAGCGGGACACGGCGACCCGAGCACACACACACACCCACAGCCAGGCTGCGGGTGTGTGTGTGTGCTCGGGCCGGGCTACGCCGTGTCTCGCCGTCTCGCAGACCGCACGCAGCAACCAGGAAGCGACACCAGCAAGCCAGCTCACACTGTCCGCTCCTCACAGCAGCGAGCCCCGCAATGTGCCGCCAACACGGCCCAGACCCCACGCAGGATCGCTAACGCCATTGTAACACATAATCACTGATGTTCCGCTGTAACGGTGGTGGACTCATCAGAATGGGCGAGCTGACCAATCAGAGCACAGTGGGCTCATAGGGAGGGGGGGGCAGGAGCTCCAACAAGCTGGTTAAGACAGAGAAAGAATACACATACTATACAGAGATGCTGAGAAACCAATGTGAGTTTGGAACATTGAACAATGTAAATCTATTCTAGTAGACCTCAACAATGGAATTATGATCAGTAGAAATGGCCATGGGACCTTTAAGTAAGGTATAACCAAACACAGCTAGCAAAGTGCACACTCTGGAGATGTTAATGTTACTAAATCACAGCTTCACAGGAACGTGAGCTGTGGACTTTAAACGGCCCCTTGCTGATCACGTTTTCTCCATTGTTATGAAGATGTCTCAGTTTTCACAACGTGATGAGTGTGTGACCTCAGGCAGGGTCCAAAGTTGAGAAAGATATTAAAAGCTCAACATGTTTAAATAAAATACTATATATATATATATATATATTTATATATATATATATATATATACATACAAAGACATCCTGCTGATGTTCAGGTGTATATCAGTATGTAGTGTCTCTACTTTAAAGAGTCCTCTCCTGCTGATGTTCAGGTGTATATCAGTATGTAGTGTCTCTACTTTAAAGAGTCCTCTCCTGCTGATGTTCAGGTGTATATCAGTATGTAGTGTCTCTACTTTAAAGAGTCCTCTCCTGCTGATGTTCAGGTGTATATCAGTATGTAGTGTCTCTACTTTAAAGAGTCCTCTCCAGCTGATGTTCAGGTGTATATCAGTATGTAGTGCCTCTACTTTAAAGAGTCCTCTCCTGCTGATGTTCAGGTGTATATCAGTATGTAGTGTCTCTACTTTAAAGAGTCCTCTCCTGCTGATGTTCAGGTGTATATCAGTATGTAGTGTCTCTACTTTAAAGAGTCCTCTCCTGCTGATGTTCAGGTGTATATCAGTATGTAGTGTCTCTACTTTAAAGAGTCCTCTCCTGCTGATGTTCAGGTGTATATCAGTATGTAGTGTCTCTACTTTAAAGAGTCCTCTCCTGCTGATGTTCAGGTGTATATCAGTATGTAGTGTCTCTACTTTAAAGAGTCCTCTCCTGCTGATGTTCAGGTGTATATCAGTATGTAGTGTCTCTACTTTAAAGAGTCCTCTCCTGCTGATGTTCAGGTGTATATCAGTATGTAGTGTCTCTACTTTAAAGAGTCCTCTCCTGCTGATGTTCAGGTGTATATCAGTATGTAGTGTCTCTACTTTAAAGAGTCCTCTCCTGCTGATGTTCAGGTGTATATCAGTATGTAGTGTCTCTACTTTAAAGAGTCCTCTCCTGCTGATGTTCAGGTGTATATCAGTATGTAGTGTCTCTACTTTAAAGAGTCCTCTCCTGCTGATGTTCAGGTGTATATCAGTATGTAGAGTCTCTACTTTAAAGAGTCCTCTCCTGCTGATGTTCAGGTGTATATCAGTATGTAGTGTCTCTACTTTAAAGAGTCCTCTCCTGCTGATGTTCAGGTGTATATCAGTATGTAGTGTCTCTACTTTAAAGAGTCCTCTCCTGCTGATGTTCAGGTGTATATCAGTATGTAGTGTCTCTACTTTAAAGAGTCCTCTCCTGCTGATGTTCAGGTGTATATCAGTATGTAGTGTCTCTACTTTAAAGAGTCCTCTCCTGCTGATGTTCAGGTGTATATCAGTATGTAGAGTCTCTACTTTAAAGAGTCCTCTCCTGCTGATGTTTAGGTGTATATCAGTATGTAGAGTCTCTACTTTAAAGAGTCCTCTGAGTGTGTGGGACAGAGGGATTTTAGCTTATATTTACTAAGTTCTCCGTCATGTTTTGGCCTATTTGTGTTTTTATGTGCATCGTTTTTGAAACTGCAGCTTGTTTCTTTAAATCGAAATGTTTTGGGTTGTTGAACGCGTTTGATGAGGTCAAAGACATTTTTAAGACAGATTGCCATGGAGATTTTGAATTGGTTTGACTAGATATATATATATATATATATATATATATATATATTACTCACTGATATACAAGTTCTGTGAAGCCACCACTTTATTACTATGACCTTTTATATTGTGTGAGATTGTAAAGACCCTTTATGGTCTGTAGCATATCAGGCAGTTCTATAATGTCACACTGTGATCTTTGCTCTAATCAAGTTGTTCTCGGCTGAACACTTCCTCCTTGTAAAATAATTTAGATAATATCGTGACTGTTATCTTCCACCTGCACGGTCAGTAGGGAGGCGTGTAGCGCAGTGGACTAGTGCGTTGGTGTTCGGATCAGGTCACAGGTTCAAACCCCACTGCAGTCAGCATGTCGTTGTGTCCCTGAGACACTTCACCCCAAACTGCTCCTGTGGGGATTGCCCACAGTATTGAGTATGTAAGTCGCTTTGGATAAAAGCGTCTAACATGTAATGTAATGTAAATTGCAAAAAAGTTAGCTCTAAATATGGAAAATGAACTCATATAGAAACGTTTTTTATATATATTTAAATAGTGAAAAACCAGTTTAAAAAATAAGAAGGTTAAAATAAAAGCAGTTGTCATTAAAAATGAACACATTGTCTGCTAAAAAAGGCGTTAACCAGGAAATGGTTATCAAAGGAAAGCCCGAAAGACCAGTGATAACAAATCTTGATAATTAAGATCAATCAAACCTCCACACGCAACCTCCGCTCCACATCTAACCATCGGACGCCACAGGCCACTGACGCCTTCAAGAAAGGCTTAAAAACCTTTCTTTTAAAAAAAGCTTTTGATTAAACTTTTGTTTATTTTGTTTCTTTTTATTATGCCTCTTGTAGCACCTTGGGATTGCTGTTAGCAATGAAAGGTGCTTTATAAATCGAATTTATTATTATTAAATAAAATATAAACAAAAATACAGAATAAATACGTGTTAAATACGCAAAAAATCTAAAAATGGAAAATGTACATAAATATATATTTAAATATTGAAAAACCAGTTAAAAAAATAAGAAGATTAAAATATAATAAAAGCAGTTTTCATCAAAAATGAACGCATTGTCTGCTAAAAAAAGCGTTAACCAGGAAACGGTCATCAAAGGAAAGCTCGACTCTGAATGGATGGATGAACATTTATAAAATGGAAAAGAGAGAACAGCTTTTTCATTCATAAACTGGAGCAATTTACTTCATACTGGGAGCAGTGGACTCACTATGTAATGCCCTATACGCCTGATTTAGTTTTCTTAACTCTGCGGTAAAGATATGATACTCCCTATTTGTTGATGTCACTTTTCTTCATGTTATGTTTCTTTAGTTTATATATTCTAATGTTTTTTCATCTGTTATTTGTGTCCGCATGTGTATTGCTGAAAAGGACTAGGAACAGATTTATGTCATTTACTGTATGCTGTTATGTTTGACACTACATTTCGACAAAAAGATCATTACAAAAAGATGTATGCATGGTGTTTCTCAAAGAAGGTCGAACACGTATTAAATCCCTGGTTAATATCTTCCAAATGGAAATGTTTCCTCATTTAGATATCAAGAAGTGACTTGCTGGACCCCAAAAAACTAATATTCAGAAGTGTTTTGCTTATCTTCAAGGTTCTTTATTGTCAAACTGACATAGCTACAGAGTAATTATGTTGTTGAAAATCGTATGTCACAGGCTTCTCCAACAATGCAACATAATAATAATACAGATAGTAAGAGTATTATTGTCTTTGTAAAAATCTTTGTATTTCTTTAAACTTTTCCCTCAAAATAAGAGTTCAATACTTGAGTGCATGAACTTACTGTAGTGACATTGCACCACTAACACTAACAATACAGCTACAAAGCTAGTTGATCTCAACACTCATGGTTGCATCCTCCCTGTCTGAGTTGCAGAATAGTTCCAGCATCAGACACTTTTTTTTTCCCAAAGATATTGAAGTGACTGTTATTTTGTATATATTGATTGTTGTGTTTTTATTTAGGTCTTAATGTGTGCATATGTATAAATGTGTCTGTTGATTGTGTATATATAGGTATATACATATTTGCATACATATTTTTATATATATTTGTTTTTGTATTCGGGATTGTGGGAAACGGTATTTCAATCTCTCTGTCTGTGCACACAAACTGAAAGATTGACAATAAAGTTGACTTTGATAAATAACGTGTCCCCTCTTTTCTGTCTCCTCAGGTGTTTTGAAAATGTCTTATTTGCCACGTAAATAGCTGAACTATTAACTGAGGAGGGAGAAGACCTGCTGCACGAACACCGACTGAAAACCCTGAGAGTTAATCTCCTCCAGCCTCAGAATCAGAATCAGAAAACCTTTATTCGTCCCTCAGAGGGGACATTTACATTAGTTACAGCGAGAAAAGAGCCAAACACAGCTTCATGTTAAGTAAGAAGCATAACAAAACATACTAAGGACAAAATTAGACAATTTACAAAATACACATCCTGTAACCGTTCTGAAGATATAGCAGCCAGGTGCCTTAAACATGGCGAAAGTCATCCACGTCAGTAAAAATGTGGGCCTGGGGCTTCTGGTGCTGGCGGCCATTGCTCTGGTTATAATTATAGCTTTATCCGCCGCCTTAGATAAAGAAAAGGCCAAGAAGCGAGGAGGAAACAGTGAGGATGGAGCAACAGGCAGCACCAGTGTTCCCATTACTACACTTTTCACCCCAAAAGAGCCGTGGGACAAATACAGACTCCCAGAATCCCTTTCTCCTGTTTCCTATAACGTCACCTTGTTTCCTCGGTTGAAACCCGACGCTAACGGACTCTATATCTTCACTGGAGAATCGACAGTGGTGTTCAAATGTGTGAAGGAAACAGACCTGATCATCATCCACTCCAACAAGCTGAACCTCACCAACTTCGATGGGTTCCTCGCCAAGTTGAGCGCCGTGGGTGAAGCATCTTCTCCATCGATTCTGAAGTCGTGGCTCGTTGTGAAGACGGAGTATTTGGTTCTTCAGTTGAGTCGCAGATTAAGTGTTGGAGCGATGTATGTTCTGCACACTGAGTTTCAGGGCGAGCTGGCAGACGACCTGGAGGGTTTCTACAGGAGCGAATACACTGATGACGGAGTGAAGAAGTGAGTAAAGATGAAGCTTAACGGTGCATGATCATAGTTTAAAAGTACGATTTGAAAGGGACATGAAATACTCTTTTTTGGGTTTTAAACCTCTATTTTAGGTTTCTATAAGAACATGTTTAGATGCTTTTATTGTCAAAAAAGAAAAAGTTGATCATGTCGGCAGTCTAATTGAACCTGTATTCACCCTCGGTCTGAAACGCACTGTTTTAGCGCCTGTATCTTAAAGGCCCTCTCCCAGAAAAAATCGAGTTTTCCCTTTCCTGTAGTGTGTCATATGGGTTTTAGTGCATGTAAATGGTCTGCAAAGGCTAAAATCCTTGTGTTCCCTCCAGAGGGAGTTTCGCACCACCATCAGCTCGAGAGGACTCTTTAAAATAGAGACACATACTGATATACACCTGAAAATGGGCATTATATGTCCTCTTTAAAACGTAACAACAGTAATAAACATGACACATTTAAAGCTAATTTGCCCATTCTTGTTGGAGTGGTTTTTTACCTGTTAAAATTACTTTCGCTTACAGTTAATAATTATTAGAGGTCATCTGAGGTCACTAACTGCTCAGCTTTACCAATGACGCACACTTTTTAACTAGCCAGGAGTTAGCCAGGGTCATGAGCTGATCAAAAACATATTAAGGACATCACTAGAATATGTTTGAATCCAAGGTTTTACCAAAAATGTACTAAACCCCACATGTTTGTTCACGGACGAAGTGAGTTTTTTAGGAAATGTCCCCTTTAATTGTCACACCGTGTTCCTCTTGGTTGATTATTTATTTATCGAAATCACCGCAGTAAACCGTATTTAATGTTGTCTTAATGTACGCTATTTAATTTCATATTCTGTTCTTGTACATATCATATTCTATTTACATGTATAAAGACTTCTTGCACTATTTGTTGTTGTATTTTATTGTATATGTTGCATTGTTGGAGGAGTTCTGGTCAGAAGAATGTCATTGCCATTTCTACACTGATGTGCATATGACAATAAAACCTTGAATTGAATTGTTAATGTTTAATTTGAACATTTTGCAGAGTTGTTGCTACCTCACAGATGCAGGCTACGTATGCCAGGAAAACCTTCCCTTGCTTCGACGAGCCGGCCATGAAAGCTTCCTTCAACGTCACCATCGTTCACGAGAGAGAAACCGTGGCTCTGTCCAACGGCATCGAGACCGGTTGGTTCCTCAGGAATAAAACAAAGAGTAAAATCTGATCAGAATAGGAACGCAGTGTTGGGAGGTGAACTACATGTACAGCAAGTCTACTACACTTGGCTGTAGCTTCCTTGTAGTTCAACTAAAAACACATTTGCATAGTTAATTAAGTCGTTAAATATCGTCAATGTCATAACATTTACATATGACGATTTGATCAATTTCAGTATTTTAGTCTGACCTTTTTCTTTCTATGTATATTTGCTTAACTATACTACATTTCTCCCAGGGCAGCTTTGCTGTAGTTCAACCTTTATATGAGCTCTTTTGGCCACTTTTGGTGGTTATATGGTGGATATTTGAAATGCTATTTAAAAATAAGAAGAAGAAGTAACTTATACAGTACAAGTAACTTTTTTAATTTTAATAAAACAAATGTTACAAGTTAGATATATAGTCAAAAATACTGCAGTTTTTAGCAGTTATATATGCTTACACTACAGGACGTTACTTGTACATAGGATAGTATAACATGTACAGATATCTGACATGTTTGAAAGTGAGCAAACATCAGCAACATAACCTAACTAGATGATTTCTCTCTCTGAACAGACTCTGCAGACTCCATCATCGACGGCGTTCCCGTCAAAGTGACGACGTTCGAGCCCACGGCGAAGATGTCCACATACCTGCTGGCCTTCATCGTCTGTGACTTCGTTAGCATCGGTAAAGACAGCAACCTGCAGGTGAGATATATAGAAAAGTGTGCTCAGTAAGGAAGTACATTCACTCACGTTCCAGTTGCTTTATGTGTACTTTCCATTTTATGCCACTTTATACTTTGACTCCACTACGTTTATCTGAGAGCTTTTTACGGTGGCCGACAGGTGCAAACTCGTTACAACCTGCTGCAGTTTCAAAAGCGATGCAAATATAAATACACAAATGTGCCAGAACTCATGAAGAAACATCTTCAGCTACTTGAGGAAACATGAGCAGCGTTTACTTAAAGCGCTGCATAAACGAAACGCTGCAAGAAGCTCAAAACACAACGGAGACCAGGGGACACTAAAGAGTGACGCACACAGCTGGGAGACCAGGGGACACTAAAGAGTGACGCACACAGCTGGGAGACCAGGGGACACTAAAGAGTGACGCACACAGCTGGGAGACCAGGGGACACTAAAGAGTGACGCACACAGCTGGGAGACCAGGGGACACTAAAGAGTGACGCAGACAGCTGGGAGACCAGGAGACACTAAAGAGTGACGCACACAGCTGGGAGACCAGGGGACACTAAAGAGTGACGCACACAGCTGGGGTACACTAAAGAGTGACGCACACAGCTGGGAGACCAGGGGACACTAAAGAGTGACGCAGACAGCTGGGAGACCAGGGGACACTAACAAGTGACGCACACAGCTGGGAGACCAGGGGACACTAAAGAGTGACGCACACAGCTGGGAGACCAGGGGACACTAAAGAGTGACGCACACAGCTGGGAGACCAGGGGACACTAAAGAGTGACGCACACAGCTTGGAGACCAGGGGACACTAAAGAGTGATGCACACAGCTGGGAGACCAGGGGACACTAAAGAGTGACGCACACAGCTGGGAGACCAGGGGACACTAAAGAGTGACGCACACAGCTGGGACATCAGGGGACAATAAAAAGTGACGCACACAGCTGGGACACCAGGGGACAATAAAAAGTGACGCACACAGCTGGGACACCAGGGGACAATAAAAATTGACGCACACAGCTGGGACTGGAGCGTTTGTTGACGTTCAGGATTATAAAGCTGGACAACTGTCTCTGTTGTTGGAAACTCACCTAAAATGTTTTATGGTCTTATTTGAACAATGTGATCACATGACTCCTTCTGATGTTACTGCAGATCTGCTGTAAGCTAGCTAGTAGGACCTGAATCTGTTTAAATATATTTAACATGTTCATACAAATGCTCAATGTTTTACTGTGATATCTTGTTTCAACAGTTACTTCATCACTTTGTCTTTATTTGTACCTTGGGTAAATCCTGTTTTTCACTCTGACCCTATTGTTGCTATAAACGCCTGAATTTCCCCAAGGGGATAAATAAAGTTCCATCTTATCTTATTTTTCTTTTTTTTGCAGATCCGAATTTGGGCTCGCAGGAAAGCGATAGAAGACAAACAGGGAGATTACGCTCTGAACGTCACAGGGCCGATCCTTCATTTCTATGAACAATACTACAACACATCGTACCCACTCTCAAAGTCAGGTATGTCAACATGTTAATGCAAACATTTTCCTGTGAAGAAAGAAATATTAAGGACCTTTCTCATCTCCCTTAGCCAAGCATTATGTATTTCAATTCAAATGGAAAGACATAAACCTTTCTTGCATTGCTGGTGGACGTTTTAACAATTGTTGGAGTGAATAACTTCCAGAAATTATCATATTTTAGTGTTTTTTAGATAGCAACAACATTACAAGGAACACAAAATAGTGAATCATTAGCCGCTTTCACACCGGAGTACTTTTCCCAGGAATAGTTCCGAATAGGAATAGTTCCTGGGATTTTGCGTTCACACCAAAAAGATCTGGAACTAGAACCTAGTTTTTGCTAACCTTTTCACTCCAAGTTAGGGACTTTCCTGGGGAGAAAAAGGTTCCAATTTCTGATTGGCTGGACGAATTGCAAACCACGCCCCGTAAACTTTTTTAAGCCGCCATTTTATTTGCTCGCATTAGCATTATTAGCATTAGCATTAGCCCAGCGCACCAAGGGAGAGAGACTAACTTATGGCAACACAAAATAAAACATGGGAGCGGTGGAGTGATGAGGAGGTGTCGGCGTTCTGGTGATTTACTCGGAAGGAGTTGGGGACTGAAGCCAGGCCCCAACTCCGGGGACTTCCGGCCGGGGACTTCGGGTGGAAGTATACGCCGTGAAGTAGGGATTTGTCGGTCGCGAACGAGCCGATTGTTTTGAACGGCTCTTTGGTACGAACGAGGGGAACTGAGTCGTACTTGGTGAGAGCCGTTCTTTTTATCGTTCAATCGTTGGTCCGCACTCACTGCCTGCCAAAATCCACTCGCCTTTTAAAAAGCTTGATTTTGTTCCCCAAACGTATTCTGTGAAGACCCGCCCCTACTCTGATTGGTAGGTTTCAGTGAAAGCGCCTAATAAGACCATGGGTCCATAAACATGCTAATGGTTGTGTGAGACAGTTCTTATACACATTAAACTCATACAAACCATAAAGAAAATCAAAACAACTATATAGACAAGAAAACAAGCAAAAAAAGAGACAAAAATATGCAAAAAGTTGGGAAAACCACCACATACAGAAAGAACAATGAACATCAGGGCTTTGATGGCCCATTCAAGACATTTGGTGTATTTTTTGATATTTTTTCTGATGTATTTTCTGATGTCCTCCCCAGATCAGATCGCTCTCCCTGACTTTAACGCCGGGGCGATGGAGAACTGGGGTCTGGTGACCTACAGAGAGACGGCCCTGCTGTTCGACCCCTTAATGTCCTCCACTGGAAACAAAGAGAGAGTCACCACCGTCATCGCACATGAACTCGCTCACATGGTAAGAAAATAACATCCCTGTCATCGTGTTCTCTTAGACAACTGGACTTTAAGGTCTTCTTTCATGCAAAATGCACTTTTTGATGTCTTTTATACATAAATATGTGTCCCCGGTGTGTCAGGAGACTCACAAAGTGTCAGAAAACAAAACCCTCTCTCTTCTCCTCCGTACCCACATCTCTAAAAACAGGGGAACAACGGAGCTGATCCAGATTTGGCCTTTAATCACGCCAGCATTTAACTGTATCTGCAGTATAATTCTGAGCAGGCATTAGCTCCCCCTCCTCTTTTTTTTTTTCAAGCTAAGGACCCAAAATCAGCGTTTCTCTAAAGGCACGGACACACCAGGCCGATTATCGGCGTCGGTGGGCGTCAGGCCGACGATGAGCGTCGATACGCCCTACTCAGATTGGTGTGTCCCGCACCGTCGGGTCTTTTCAGCCGGGCCGACGCCTTTTTGGCAGACTATTTGTTTATATCACGCAGTCTGCTCTTCTTCTCTCGGTGTATCACGCAGTCTGTCTTCCGGTTGTTGCCTCTTTTGAATGACGAATACACACTACCGCCGCCTGCTGGTAAGGAGAGTTATTGCCACTCACACATGCGCAGTTCGTACGTGCATCTTGGCCGTCGGCTGAAGTCTTTGCGGTGTGTTCCAGTGCGACACATGGCCAAAACGCAGAGACGCGAGGCGACGCAACAGTCGGAGTCCGTCTGTGTCAGTTCTTTGTTGTCAGATTGGTGTGTCCGGGCCTTAACAGGGCTGGAATAGAGGGATATGAGGGATGTCTCAAATGCATGATCTGTTTGTATTTTGAGCAAAACACATCATAGACATGTTTTTATATATTTTTATATATCTGAGACCTATAATATATGCCTTAACCCATAAGAACCCAGACCCATTTCTACTTTTGGGACAATTAAGGGGAACATAATTTAGACTAAAGAGACCACCTAGAACACATTTCTGACAAGTAACCCCCCCTAGTGTCAAATATCTGAAATGTGACATATATGTCACATTGGGCTTTAAAGGTAAAATAACTCTTATTTTTAACTTAATTAATGAGGATGATTTTTTGGTTTAAATTAGTTTGAACATTCTTTGAATTGAAGAATAAGAACATATCAACTCAATATAATTGAATCAGCTAAATTAACTGAGCAGATCCTAATAATATTTCTAATTGTGCATATATGTGACTCCGGGTTTACTGTGAAAGTTTAGGGTTAAAGTCCCGATGTGACATCAGTCAGATGTTTGTCTCATTTGTTTCATATCAATTTGATCAATAAATGTTTCCACAACATGTTAAGTGTAATAAAGGACATGTTATGTAAGCATTTTCATTCTTAAATGGCTTGAATTTGACCTTTAGCAACAAAAAAAAAGCTTTTGAAACGTAGCTAGTTCGGTCACATGTGTTAGTCTGGCACATGGACATCTTGGACATGTTGTCATGGGAACACAAAATGTCCTGGACCATGACCCACCAGACTGTTCACGGTGTGTCACATAGGGACTTCATGAGATAAAATAAAGGCTAAAGCTGAATAAGGAACTTTCCAGAACATTTAAAGGTCATGTGACACCCGTGTCACGTTGGGTCCTTATGGTTAAAATAGCATGATAGGAGATCTTTAAAATCACACTGTACATTTTACATTTATATCCAATCTAATATTCCATTCCTCAGATTTCTATTTAATTGAGATGTTAACATTTTGGAATGTTTATTTCTAGTCTTTGAATTTGTACTGAACAACGCCTTGTCTTTTGATGCTGCTGCAACGCAAACATTTCCTAAATTGGCATCAGTAAAGTACTTCTTATCTTATTCTTATCTTATATTATGTGTTTCAGTTTTTATAATCATGAGAAAAAATCGTAATCGTAGGACATTAATTTGGTGTAAAGTAAATACAGCTTGTGTAAACACACGATGAGCCAAAGCACTCGATGATAGACCCTCGCCTGGGGAAACATTCATTCAGTGCACACAGAAATGTGTTGAACGCCTGTCATCAGAAGGGATGTGGAAATATGAGTTTGGGAATTTCCTCTGGACAGTTCATGTAAAAGTACTTCTCACCTCCAAAGCTATTTATTTGTTCAAAGATTCAAAGGTTTTATTGTCATAATTGTATTAATAGTAATAGTATTTAGAAACGAGATCGCTCAATCGTTGGCTGATAAGTCCCAAAATGAAGCTATTTCTTTTGAGTAACTTGGGTCATGCTTTTTGGAAAAAGATATGTGTGTTTCAAAATGCAAAAGGCAGATTACAGATGGGGACGGGGTCCAAAACCAGCAAGCCACATGAATGTCTGGGAGAAAATACATTTGATATGCTGCACAGATACGGCCAGGATCCGTTGAATTTTCTGAATATTGGGTTGCAGATAAAACATTTCCAAAGGGGCGTTCGTTTAGCATGACACACTTGAAATAACTAAAGGATAAGTTAAAAAAGAAAGTAGAAAGAAAGTGAGGTCAAAGAAAACTATTTCTGCTAAAAAGTGAGCAATGATTGAGAGTCAGAGCTAAACATTTCAGATGTGTGTATCTCACACTGCACTGTCACTTTAATAATTCATGTGCCTTTGTTATTCATGTTTTATTATCTTTGCTTTTAAATTAGTGTTTTTAAATGCCATTTTATAAAACGGACAAGTAAAATCAAGCAATCTGATTGGTTCTTAGCCGTGGTATACTGAGCGTATACCACGGGTAGAATTGTAAGTTACTTTTCACAACAACTCAGTATCCCTCCGCGTCTGAGATAAACAGTATACAGTTGGGCTTTTCAAACTGGAACAAGAAAGCAGCGGAGAAGTAACGGAGCAGAAACCCTCCTTTTTACGCAGCGGTCCAGACATAGACATCAAACGGCAAAAACATATTCAGTGTGCAGTTCCTTTGGCATTAGGGCAGGGATATTTAGATACTTTCCAAGGTTTGACATAATGAATTGTGCTACTTTTAAAGCAAGCAACGATGTTTTCAAATCTGTAATCAAAAAGGTCCGCAAAAACATTTAAGATTAACTTCGACCTCCGGGGGGGGGGGGGGGGGGGGTCTTACTATGGAGGAGTGGATTGAGGAGTGCCTATCTCCAGAACAAAAAGCACCTAAACGACGACATGCAGAGCTACGTGAAGAGCAGGTATAGACCAACTGGAAAAGTATCACCATTCAAAAGCTTTCTGATGCGGGTCTTGAAACAAAGCAGAGAAATGATGACCGTTAGTGGCCACAGGTGCGAAAGCTCTCTCCAGAGCTACTGGAAGCCGAATCTCGGGGACCGGAGAAAGTGGAGCAATATTCTCGCCACGCCAAGCAACAGCCTAGAACAACCTCAGCCTATACAAGTAACCACGTAAGCCATGCTACTGATGCTGGACAGTTTTTCAGTGGGTGCACAATAAACGGCAACATACACATTAATGTAAATAAATAGCCAAATAATGGATCAACGCTCTCTGTCTAATATGTTCGCTAGCTGTTGTTAGTGTTGTTGCATAGCAACCACCTCGCACTATGTTTCGTGCAGAAGGCAACAGAGGGACTATTTTATTTTGAACATCATTATTTACTAATAAAAACTATTTAAATTAGAGTGTGTATTTTTCTTTCATATTGCCACACTTGGTAACCGTTTTATAAAAGCAATAGCTCACTTCAGGCCGTGGTATATGCTCATTATATCACAGCTAAGGGGGTTGTCGACCCTCCGCTTCGCGTCGGGCCGAACCATGCCCCTTAGCTGTGATATAATGAGCATATACCACGGCCTGTCATGAGCTATTGCTTAATTATAATATGTTTCTTAATGCTCTTAAAACCTGTTAAGCCCGGCGGGAGCAAACACAACAATATTCACGAAACTGTGTCTCAGGGCTTCTTAACATTTAACAACCTATGAATGTGTCATACCCACTTAACGGGAAGAAACTCAGCTAACTGACGATATGAACCGTTGCTGTTTTCTGATCAAAGGTTGTGTTCAACGCATATAAACGCTGCTGAAGGTTAATCCAATGTCTCTGTGTCACTTTGAAATGATCACTGATAATCCATCATCATATTTATGGCAATAAATAGTTTTCAGAGCGTAACGTAGCTTTCGGATTGGGCAAACTGCGTGCGCATCACTCTCACTCCTCAATGGGTAACGTGTAGGTGGAACGTTTCAATCATCAAAATCGACCAATGGGATCCAGAGATATGGAAAATCCACCCAAATGACCCCAGAAGTGGGTTTCTTTTTCTAAACCTCTCTAAAAAGGTCAAATGTCACCTGTTTTGCATCAATCTTGATACAGGGTACTTATTACTTGTTATAGTTTGGATTCCTAAAGTGTTTAGTCTCCGATCCCATAATTCAAGGGTGGTTTTAACTATAAGTAATGGTTTATTTTTGGACGGACACTATAATTTACAGTTTTTTACTATGTTCAATCTGAATTTACTTTAAAATAAAAACATCTATATTGATTCTGACTTTCCTACATCCAACTCACAAGTTTATCATTACTTTGAGAAAAAAGATTATTAATTTACCCCTTTTAGAAGTGAAGTTATAGTCATTTGTTCTGGGAATGTCATGTTCGAGCCTGAGGCCTGAAAAACAGGCTCGGGGCTTCACAGGTTAATGTCTTTCATTTTTCCAAAGCACTTTGAATTGCCACTTGAAGGTGCTGTATAAATAAATTGCCTTGCCTTGAATAAAGGTTGTTTTCAGTTCAAACCGTCGTCTGTGTGCTCTTGGGTCCTCCCTGCGCTGCTCAAACTTAACTGATTTATGTTTTTCCCGTCTTCTCTTCAGTGGTTTGGGAACCTGGTGACTCTGCAGTGGTGGAACGACCTGTGGCTGAACGAGGGCTTTGCGTCGTTCGTTGAATACCTCGGGGCGGACTACGCAGAGCCCACCTGGAACATTGTGAGAACATTTAACACCTTCAAACACAGAGAGAATTTACTATTAAAGACAGACAAGATGATAAACAGCTCACAGACATGTTTTTACTGACTGTCCTTTATTTGTATTTCTTTATTCTAACCTTTTATGCTCTTAACCTTTTTTAGATTACAATATTTTATTCAATATGCTCCTTAGATAACTTCTATCTTCTCCTCATAGCATTGTGAAGCACCTTGAGATGACGTTGTTTTTAAAGTGTGCTATACAAATGAAATGTATTATTATTATTATGTCAGAAATAATGAGTTGTAACTCTATGGTTGGTTAAAAGCGTCAAATGAATGAACTTGGAATGTAATACTGATAAATGTGTAGTTATATGTTGATTCATGCTTTAATCTGGCCCTTATTTGTGGATGTTTAATAGAGACTATCTATGCTTTTTTATGTATACTGTATGTTGATTATGTGTGTACCTTCCCAGGGACTGCAGATGGAAATTGCTAACAGCTAAATCTACCACCTTCTCTCTTTTTTAAAATAATGTTTTTTATACGCACGGTTCATTTCAAAGACTAACTAATAGCCCCCTTACTCATCTCTATCTGTAAAAGTCTCATAGCATCTATAAAGTTTCTCTGTCTCTCTCTGTCTACAGAAAGATCACATCGTCCTGTCTGATGTCCAAAAAGTGTTCGCTGTGGACGCTCTCGCCTCCTCTCACCCTCTGTCCCGCAGAGAAGAGGAGGTCAACACCCCGGCTCAGATCAGCGAGATGTTCAACACCATCTCCTACAGCAAGGTCTGCTCCTCTGACTCCATGTAAACAGTACACACATCCTTTACTCAAGTAGAAGTACAGATACTCGTGTTTAAACATACTCTGGTAAAAGTAGAAGTACTGACTAAACTTCTTTACTCAAGTCAAAGTAAAGAGGGCTTTGAAATGTACCTAAGTAAAAAGTACCCATAACTAGCAGCTGTTTTAAAGAGTACCTGACCTCCCTTTATATTAACAGAACAATAATGTCATTGTTAGCTAATGAATGTTTCCATGCTGAACAACGGCAACATGACAACGTTTTCATTGGTCCCTCTTCTTTAGAGAAGACCAGGAAATGATGGATACACGGATCGTGTTCAAATCAATAGGCACGCAATGACTCTAAATAATAATGATCACGCCACCAAACACACATTCAAACTAAAGGAACCAGCCTGTTTGGGAAATGTAAGAAGTAGAAAGTATAGGTATTTGTGTGCAACATGTAAGAAGTAGAAAGTACAGGTATTTGTGTTAATAATGTAAGAAGTAGAAAGTTCAGGTATTTGTGTTCAAAATGTAAGAAGTAGAAAGTACAGGTATTTGTGTTCAAAATGTAAGAAGTAGAAAGTTCAGGTATTTGTGTTCAAAATGTAAGAAGTAGAAAGTTCAGGTATTTGTGTTCAAAATGTAAGAAGTAGAAAGTTCAGGTATTTGTGTTCAACATGTAAGAAGTAGAAAGTACAGGTATTTGTGTTCAACATGTAAGAAGTAGAAAGTTCAGGTATTTGTGTTCAAAATGTAAGAAGTAGAAAGTTCAGGTATTTGTGTTCAAAATGTAAGAAGTAGAAAGTACAGGTATTTGTGTTCAAAATGTAAGAAGTAGAAAGTTCAGGTATTTGTGTTCAAAATGTAAGAAGTAGAAAGTACAGGTATTTGTGTTCAACATGTAAGAAGTAGAAAGTACAGGTATTTGTGTTCAACATGTAAGAAGTAGAAAGTACAGGTATTTGTGTTCAACATGTAAGAAGTAGAAAGTTCAGGTATTTGTGTTCAAAATGTAAGAAGTCAAAGTAAAAAGTCGTCAGAAAAATAAGTAGTGGAGTACCAGAAAAATGTACTTAAGTACAACAACAAAGTATTTGTACTCCACTACTTCCCACCTCTGGTTGTTATAAGAATTTAAACCAGCCACTTCTTCACTGGTTATTTGTTGTGTCTCTCAGGGAGCCGCGGTGCTCAGGATGCTCTCAGAGTTTCTCACTGAGCCGGTGTTCGCCAAAGGACTCAGTGTGAGTGTAAACTGTAATAAGACTGCTTATTCATGAACTACTTCCACTGGGAGTGTTTGTGTGTGTGCTTTGTGTGAGCATGTGTTTATGTCTGTGTGTGAGTGGGTTTCATATTGAAATAGTTTGTGGGTATGATAAATCAAATAGCATCCTTAGTTACTGTTAATCTGACAGAAGTGTGTGTGTGTGTGACGTGTGTGTGTTTGTGTAATATTGACAGAGTTTGTGGGTATGATGAATCCAACAACATCCTTAGTTACTGTTACTCTGACAGAAGTGTGTGTGTGTTTATGTCTCTGTGTGTGTTTATGTCTGTGTGTGTTTATGTATGTGTGTGTTTATGTCTCTATGTGTAAGTGTGTGTCATATTGAAAGAGTTTGTGGGTATGATAAATCAAACCACATCCTTACTGTTATTCTGACAGGTGTGTGTGTGTGTGTGTGTGTGTGTGTGTATGTGTGTGTGTGTGTGTGTGGGTGGGTGGGTGTGTGTGGCCTAGCATTACTATACTTGTGGGGACCTACATCTATTTACACAGTCACGTGTGGGGAGTTTGACAGAGTTTGAGGGTATGATGAATCAAACCACATCCTTAGTTACTGTTACTCTGACAGACATGTGTGTGTGTGTTTATGTCTGTGTGTGGAAAATTGACAGAGTTTGAGGGTATGATGAATCAAACCACATCCTTACTGTTAATCTGACAGAAGTGTGTGTGTGTGTGAGTCTGATGTATCTTTAAATGATTCGTGACTTCCTCTATGCTGTAGACTCTGACTAATAGCACAATGATTTTAAAACATGTGATCTAATAAAGTGGTTCCCGAAAAATTATTTCCACACCAGATGGTTGTGGAGACAAATCTAATAATAAAAAGTAAAACATATTTTAGAATGGGGAGTAGCTTATACATTATATTGCCTCTACAAGTAATATGTGCTGAACGATAAGGCCCACAGTAACTGCTTTATATGCCAAATGTTTATTCGAAAAAAGGCATTAAACCACTTGCAAGAATTGTAGATCTGCACAATTAATAGAAATTTAGCCAAATTGCAAAACGGGATGGTGCAACATCCAAATTGACGTGCAATTTTAGGAAAAAGTATTTGTTTGGTACGGAAAACTCCTATATTTTTCAATGATAATAACAGTAATGATGCAAAAGTGATAATTTCTTTAAAAAATGTGAGCCATATATAATATCCCAATTGCAATATCTGTCAAAAAGTAATTTTCTCAAAATCTTGCTGCCCTAAATTATTGCAGACAGTTTATGAATGAACAATGTGTTTGCATGTGAAGGGAGGGGGGTTGCAATCACCGCAAAACTCACAAAAGGTTGGGAACCACTGGTCTAATGCAGCTTTAGCATCTTAATTATAGCACTGTTGATGCTTGACCTGCTCATAATAACTGTTTTCTCTTCTCAGTCTTACCTGAACACGTTTGCCTTCAGCAACACGGTGTACACAGACCTGTGGGACCATCTGCAGCAGGTCAGTGTGTTTAAAAAAAACGGTATAGTCACACATGTGCAGTGGTGGAAATTAACAAAGTATATGTACCCAAGTTTTTGATATACTTGGAAATAGGAGGTACCAAACAAAACCTCATTTGGTAGAACTTTTCTGCCTCGCACTTTGTAGACGGTCCCTGTTCACTCGGCTGCAGATAAAAGTCGTCCAACAGGCAAGGCAGGCAACTGCTTGGGACCCCAGACCAGTAGGGGGGGGGTTAATCACATCGGTCCACAGCAATGACCACATGGAAATAAATGGCTATGTAAAACACACTGCAATGACATCTCCAGAAAAAGGGTCCCCATGCTACTTGGGAAGGGGAAACCCACAGACGGTTTGGGCAGGTGTCTTCTAACCCAGAGTGTCTTGAAACGCTCCTGACGGCACGTATCTGCTTGTTTTCATCGAAATAAGTTTGTAGCTCATTGTTGACAATGCTACGGTTGTCAAGAGACATTATTCATGTTTTTCAGAATGGTTTGTGTTTACCTATTTATATAAATAGTTATCACCGCAATAAACCGTATTTAATTTCGTCTTAATATACAATATTTAATTTTAAATTATGTTCTTGTACATATCATATTCTATTTACATGTATAGACTTTTTGCACTATTTTTATTTTCTTATTTTATGATATATGTTGCATTGTTGGAGGAGCTCAGGTCAGAAGAATTGCTATTCCTACACTGTAGCTTATGTGACAATAAAACCTTTGAAATCTTGAATCAAGTTCAAATCCGTGATTATCTTTCTAACTTTTCTGAAAAAGGCAAGCCCTCATCCCAGTTCCTGTGATTCTCTGTTTATTGTCAGGCAGTTGAAAACACACCCAGTATCGTTATTCCTCACACCGTCCACGACATTATGAACCGCTGGACTCTTCAGATGGGCTTCCCTGTCGTCACCATCGACACTCGGACAGGAAGTGTTACCCAGAAGCACTTCCTGGTGGATCCTGACTCTGTGGTGGAGAGACCCTCTCAGTTCAAGTAGGAATCCATTTGTTAGAAATATATCACTGCTCACCGGCTTGAGCTTCAATATCAGGATCCATGTATTTATGATCCTCTCAAGAATGGAAGTAGTCATCACATACAGAGCATTTGGTACTAGAACTAGTTCCTGAACAGTGTCCTTCACATGCTGGTATACAAGAGAGGGAGTTACACAGTCACAAGATGGAGGAATACCGGTTCTTGTAGGTAATCATACATCCCGTCATGAACAAAATACTGAGTTTTTTCTCAAAATGTTGGCTTTTTCTCAAAATCTCAAAAATCGGACTTTTTAAAAAAATTCCGACTTTTTCAGCTACAGTTGGGATACCTTTGTTATCATGTTACTCTCATATTGGAAGATTACAATCAGTATTTTCCCAACACCATTCAACCTTTATCCTGCTAGTTCAAAGTATAATTTAAGAGATTAATTCACGTAGTATCCATCATTTGGATTATAGTCTACCACTACTGGCTTAAGCACAAACTGGTACTGTACTCCTTCATTTCCTTGTCAAATAGTTTGTATACAAAATGAAATTCCCTTAAATTTGTGTTTGTTTTCCTGGGAATATGCAGCAACACGCATTCAGTCTTTTCAAAATAAATGTTTTCCTTTTCTTTGTCTTTACCGGAAACAACTTGGTGAGGTTAACTCCAAAAACTAGACGGTTAGGTTTTGAAAAAGTCAACGTTGTATTACTTTAAAACTACTGATTTTAAATGCCATTTTCTGAATGTCTTCCATTTTTGTAAAGCACTTTGAATTGCCTTGTGTTGAAAGGTGCTATATAAATAAACTTGCCTTGCCTTGCCTTGCCTTACTGAGAAATATATATAATTTCTGGCATAAAGCTATCTTCTGGGTAAAAGTAAGAGTGTTGGACCCCAAACTCTTCCCTACACTGACGTCAATCTCATTTAATTAATTATATATAAACCAATTGATTTGGTTGGAAATAACAAGGTACAGCTTTTTTTAGTTATTGCTCCAGGCAGAGTGTGAAAACAGTCCTCTACTCCTAAAAATGAAATGCCAGAGTGGGTATGCTAACATGCTGATATGACACATCATTTGCACCATATTTCACTCAAAAAAGTTCTAGATGAAAAGCCAGAGGAGTATCAATGTCAGTAGGATTAATCCTCTAGGGAACATGCATATCTGTACCAAATATCGTGACAATTCATGCACATTTTAGCCAGACTAACTGCCAAACATTGCCATCCCAAAAGACATTTCGCACGACTAAAAACTGACTGTCTTTATCTTTGTTTCCGTCCAGTTACACATGGTTTGTCCCGATCAAATGGATGAAGACAAGCGTAGAGCAGCAACAGTACTGGCTCCTTCAAAAGACAGGTAATATGGTTGTAATACATACTTCTATGTTAGATTTGAGAAGAACTTCCTACCAGATTCTTGGACTCAAACCACTGGTCATGGGAAGAACTGAACATCTGAGTATCTATCTTTCATATTTTCCACCAGACACCCATGAGATGATGCGAGTTTCAGGAGAGGACTGGGTTCTGGCCAACACTAATGTTTCCGGGTACTTTAGGGTCAACTATGATCCGGAAAACTGGGATCGTCTCCTCACCTTGCTCAACACCAACCATCAGGTGAGCAAAAATGTTTTATTCAATGCATTGACAGTTGTCTTTGTGACCACTTATACATCACCTCGAAACAGAAAGACAAATATTGTATGTTTGTTATCGATTAATCTGCGGATAGTTTTCTAGTTTACTTTATTGGTCTATATCAGTTAAATAGTAGAAAAAAAGTATTGTTTTGTCAGTTAAATTTGATTTACAACATAAAAGACCATCAAGTATTCTTATATATGAGACTGAAAACAGCATTTTCCACCACTTTGTAAGAAACATTTCTGGGACAATCAATCAATTATTCCTATAGTTGGTGATTCATTTTCTGTCAATTGAACTAAATGATTGGTCAACTAAGCAGTAGTTGTACTTGGATGTACAATTTATATTTTAAAAACAGTTACTGACTCACACACTCAATATTTTTGGCATTTGTATATGAAAATGGATGCTGGGCTTAACATACAGTAGCACTACAGTATAACCCAAACATAAAAACAAACAAATCATATTCAAAGTATTGTTCAACGAAGGATAATGGACCTATAGCACAGAGATGGTCAGAGGGCAACGTCTGGATGAAATGAAAAAATGCTTTATGAAACACAATTTAACTTTATTGACTGTATCTAGTAATTTCCTGTTCCACAAATGGAGGTTTTATTGGTTATTTTTAATAAAAAATGTGCCAGGGTAGGGTTTTGGCATATTCCATTCTGGATGTAACGGTCTCAAATGATGTTCCTGTAAAATGTGATTTCTGAAACTGCAGACACAAAGACTATAGTATAAGCATGTTTACAAGTTTTTTAGAACTAGTGACTGTTCTGTTTACATGTGGGCTTGGTTTTCTGTTGAATTAGAACATGTTTATTTTTCAGGCTTTATCAATCATCAACAGAGCACAGATCATCGATGATGCATTCAACCTAGCAAGGTAAAGACTACTAAGTATTTAAAATATTAAATCCTTTACACATTCTGTGTCTGCAAATAATGTTTCCTTTGTGTAGGGCCAAGATAATCGATACAACATTGGCCCTGAGAACGACCAAATACCTGTCCAATGAAACAGAATACATCCCCTGGGAGTCGGCCCTGAGAAACCTCAACTACTACATCCTCATGTTCGACCGCACGGAGGTCTATGGAGCTTTACAGGTAAAACTGCTTAAATACCCGAAATGAGTTAGCATTTACCACCCCCGGTTCCCTCTTATGTAAGTCAATGATTTGTTGAATGTGTTTAGCCTGAAATAAGGTCAATGGTTAACATAAACTGAAGAGATTATCACGTTTTGTTCTATAACATAAAATGCCTCAGTAAGTGGTGGTGAATATATGAAGTTATTATGTGACATAAAAACGGCGTTTGTGTCTAAATGAGACGACTAAAACGTCATCACGCCCAACATTAGCCGCCTTTAGCTTAGCGGTGGTGACGTGAATTAATGTGACCGTGCTGTAGTTCCTTTATAGCCCAACATTAGCCGCCTTTAGCTTAGCGGTGGTGACCTGAAGTCATGTGACCGTGCTGTAGTTCCTTTATAGCCCAACATTAGCCGCCTTTAGCTTAGCGGTGGTGACGTGAAGTCATGTGACCGTGCTGTAGTTCCTTTATAGCCCAACATTAGCCGCCTTTAGCTTAGCGGTGGTGACGTGAATTAATGTGACCGTGCTGTAGTTCCTTTATAGCCCAACATTAGCTGCCTTTAGCTTAGCGGTGGTGACCTGAAGTCATGTGACCGTGCTGTAGTTCCTTTATAGCCCAACATTAGCCGCCTTTAGCTTAGCGGTGGTGACGTGAAGTCATGTGACCGTGCTGTAGTTCCTTTATAGCCCAACATTAGCCGCCTTTAGCTTAGCCGTGGTGACGTGAAGTCATGTGACCGCGCTGCAGTTCCTTTATAGCCTAACGTTAGCCGCCTTTAGCTTATCGGTGGTGACGTGAAGTCATGTGACCGTGATGTCGTTTTATTAAAGCCTAACGTTGGCTTCTTACATTTGGATATTTGCAATTACGCTTCAAAACCCGTTCAAGTGTTGTTAATATGTGGATATTATCCTGCTAATTAAAATGTGTAAGTATCATAAAGCTATGTTGGCCATAGATCTTATTTTCTGCAATATTCCGAAATCCAATGGAAAAATCCCATCGGCTTTTTGTCAAAGATGCCCTTGCAATGCTAAGTTATAAAATAGGTCATCACTGCACCACTCTATTCTTCTCATTCTGAAGCTAGCAGTAGAAATGTAAAAAGACAAAGTGTAAATCAAATGGACCTCAAACAGTTGCTCATATATCTTCATTTTAGCCATACTTCAAGCGACAAGTCGAACCATTGTTTGAGTACTTCAAGAAGATTACAGCTAACTGGACCAAAGTACCAACAGGACACACTGACCAGTAAGAATTCGTGCACCAGAAGATGTATTTTTTTAGAAGCAGGTGACTTACCGTTGGTGACACAATTTAATTCAATGCAATATTACATTTTTTGTCTCAGGAACATTGGGTTTGGTCGTGCTATATTGCAGGTTTTTTTTACCATTTCCCTTCTCAGGTATAATGAGATCAATGCTATTGGAATGGCATGCAGTATGGGGGTGAAGGGCTGCAGGGAGCTAATCCAAAGATGGTATGGAGAGTGGATGGAAAATCCACAATTAAACCCGTGAGTAACGACCACTTACATCTATTTTAGGATCTCATATATGAACACATTTGGCTGTTTGTCTTAATTCGTCCTAGCTAGCTATTGAAACGACTCTACTACGGACTTTAGCAGCATGTAGCTAGCAATGTAGTTATGTAGCCTTTGTTTTTGTGTAGATGAAAAGCCAGGGGATTACTAATGTCTGGGGACCAAATTTCATGGCAATTCATGCACATTTTAGCCAGACTAACAGCCAAACATTGCCTTCCCAAAAGCCGTATAGCATGGTTAAAAATTGTTTGTATAGTTTGTGTATATTTGTCCCAGTTAGCTAGGTAAACAACTATACAAACGTTAGCAGTAGCATTCTTATCATTGTGTTCAAGATTCATTCTTTTGAATAATCTTCTGGTTATTTTTACCTACTGTAAATGTTGACTAGGATCCATCCCAACTTGAAGAGCACAGTTTACTGCCATGCTATAGCTCGCGGAGGTGTGGAGGAGTGGGATTTTGCCTGGAAAATGTTCAAGAACGCCACTTTAGCATCTGAAGCCTCCAGACTTCGTGCCGCCATGGCCTGCACCAAAGCTCCCTGGCTTTTAAACAGGTACGTTGGAGAATCCAAATATTAAATATATATTTCCTCAGTACCGTATTGACCCGAATATAAGACGGGTTTCTTTTCCTGTAAATAAATCTGAAAAATACTTATATTTGGGGTCTAGATATTTGATGTAATTACACAGTCACAACTGATGGCGCCAAACGAGTGTTTCCCCAAGTGAGACACCGTCTTAAAGTAACAGTACAACAGGAGAGATAGAGATGGAGAAACACAGAGACCAACTCCAACAAAGTGGATCAAAAGTAGGCAAGTTAATAAACAAGAGAGGCGAAGTTACGATGCCAATTTTAAGATAATGGTGATCAACGAAGTCATCAAACAACTGTCGAGCAGCAAAGAAAAATGGTGTCACTGAGTGTAACGTTAGAAGATGGCGAGCCCGAAAAGACCGCCTTAAAAATGTAAACAGTCAGAGAAAAGCATTCTGCAATCCGCAAAGGGGCCGTTTCCCCTATTTCCCAAAATGAGTCTTGAAAAAGAGATTATAAAGAGTAATTATAATCGGTTCAATGCGGGTATTTGGAAATCACATACAGCTTAAAGCCTAATGATGGTATACTCCTATACATTTTTCGGGAGCAAGACATTTGACGAAGCCATATACGGACTTATATTATCTAATAGTTATCCATTTATTTGATTGCTTTTCGGTTTATAGTAAATCTTCCTTTTATTCTAGTGTAATTCAAGTTAATCGAATAAGTATAAGGCGTATGGTTTTTTACCATCGGGTTAGCACGAGGCAAGAAAAAGGACAAGAAAAAAAACTGTTGTTCTTTTATAATCTGTCATCAAGACAATAAAATGCACAGAAATTACTTTTGCATTTGAAACATCCATTAGTGGTTGTTCTGTGGCAATTCAAAAGGCAAACTTAAACGTTACCAATCGGGCGACTTACGCCCTGTGAACATTCATTAAAAACATCTGAAACATTGACTTGAATTAAGTGTATTAGGGTTAGGGTTACAGTTTGAATAGGTTGAACTTAATATTAGGGTTAGGGGCTTTCAACTAACCTAATACAGTTATGTGCAGTTTAGTGACATAATACATGTTTCAGTTTATTCAAGCCACCATGCCGTCTGAATTCTTAATTAAAAGCTGTATTGACTATCGACAGGATAACAGTTAGCCCAAACACTAACAACTGTGTCACTCTTTATTTCATGCTCCTGATGTTTTTTTATTGATCCAGGTATCTGGAGTACACCTTAGATCCAATGAAAATCCGCAAGCAGGACGCCACCTCGACCACCGGAGAGCATCGCAGGAAAACGTGGTGGGGATGCCGCTCGCCTGGAACTTCGTCAGAGGGAGATGGAGCTACATTTTCAACATGTAAGATTCAGGGGTGATTGGTCGGAGGATAAACTCCGCCAGAGATGAGCAGAGCGAGGTTAGAGAGAGAGAGAGCAGCGACGAGAGCGTAGCAGAGGAGAGAAGAGAGAGAGAGAGGAGAGATACGCAGCGAAGAGCAAGATGAGAGGTGACAGCGAGAAGTAGAGCTGGAGGAGGAAGAGATGAGCGTAGAGCAGTCAGAGAGATAGAGAGATATGCGCGGTCAGAGAGATCTCGAGGAAGAGAGAAGATCATCGCCTCGGACCCTCTTAGAATCGTTCTTATCATACATCCTATCTCCTCTATCTTCCTCTCGCACTCTCTCTAGCCATCTATTCTCTCTACTCTTCTCTCTCTCTCATCTCTCTACTCTCTCTCTCTCTCTCTCTCTCCACCTGAGTTATTTGCAGAGTCCTCCCTTCAGATGTTTATCTTGTGTCCCAGACGGAGGGCAACGGCAGGATTTGAATGATTTCCTTCTGCTGATCAGCACGATTAAATCACAAAGTTAACTACCTCTTTCCTTTTCCTTATTAGGTACGGAAAAGGATCTTTTTCCTTCTCTAATCTCATCAGCGGCATCACCAGGAGGTTCTCCACAGAGTTTGAGTTACAGGAGGTATGAAGCTCACGCAGCTATAACATATAATTTGAGAAACTTCACACGATAATTCAACTCCCTCAGTATCCAAAACAGTTTAAGATCATTTAAGTTCAAAGCTCCTTCAGACTGGAATAACTTACCACCGAATATACAACTCTTAACTTATTTTAAATGTTTAAAAATGCTTTGTCTTTTTTCGATGAATTACAAAACACTATGTTTGTATTTATTTATTTTTGTATTGCTATTTATTCATGGCCTCTTGTTGTGGATGTGTCTGAATTTGTATCTTTAATTGTTGTGTTGTGATAGCAGTAGTCTAGTGGTTGTATTGTGATTTTGTTTTCTTTTAGTTTCTTGTTACTGACTTGTTTTTTGTCCCATATGTTAGGACCCCATTATCCTAAATTAGGATAAATAAGTGCAGAAATTCAGTTTTTCTCAACATCTTTGTTTTCTTCTTCTTCCTCCAGCTGATGAAATTTAAAGAAGACAACCTCCATGTTGGATTTGGCTCGGCCACCTTGGCGTTGGAGCAGGCGATCGAGAAAACCAGGGCCAACATCAAATGGGTGACGGAGAATAAAGCTCCTGTGATGAAGTGGTGTACAGAGGAATCATCAAAATGACACACAGGGACACGCAATGAATGATAATCACTATAATCATCTTTTTCTTGGTAACCGTTGCGCAAAAAAAGGACAATTACGTCACCGGTCATCCACGTCAGTGCTGGAGGAAACACATCATTATATATCAGAGCTGGAAATAGATACACACTCGCACCTCTAGTGTGTGATTGTCAGAGAAAAAGGCATTTTAATACATTTTTCTACACGGAAAAAACGGATATATTGACTTTAATTAAATGTATTATGTCAACAGAGTTCACATAACTGTATTAGGTTAGTTGAAATCAATAATGTTAAAGGGGACCTATCATGCAAAATTGATTTTTTTATGTCTTTTATACATAAACATGTGTCCCCGGTGTGTCGGGGAACTCACGCAGCGTCAGAAAATAAAACCCTCTCTCTTTTCCTCCGTACCCACATCTCTAAAAACGGGGGAACAACGGAGCTGATCCAGATTTGCGTCCGATATGACGTAATATCTGAAATGTGGACCCACGGCCCTATCAGAAAGTTGCTATCAGAAACAATGCCCGACTGTTTTGGACGTAATATGGTCGGTGTTTACATTAGCATCGCTAACACTCAGAGCTAACCTGTACTGGAGAGCATGTGTGTGAAGAAGCAGGAAATAAAAAGGAACTCACCTTGTGGTATAACCGGCAAGAGAGAAAGCCTTTGAGCTCCATACTGTTTCAGAAGTAATCCTTGATAATCCATGATATGGCGTTTCATCACGGCAGCATTTAGTTTAGACAGTAGCTGCCGGGTCCCGCATGAGCTCAGACCCCTCCTTTTTAAATTGTTATCAATTTTTATTTATTTTAAAGCTTTATACCCAAATCAGCACTTTTGAAACAGGAAGTGAAATAGAGGGATATGAGGCATGGCTAGAATGGGTGATCTGTTTGGTATTTTGAGCAAAACACTTCATAGACATGTTTTTTAATATATTTTTATATATTATCTGAGACCTATGCTATTGCCTAAAAATAGCATGATAGGTGCACTTTAAAGTGTTCTATTAATTAAACTTTATATTATTGTTTTAAACTAACCTAATACAGTTATGTGAACTCTGTTGACATAATAAATGTAATTAAAGTCAACATTTCCGTTTTTTCCGTTTTTTCACATTTCTTTATTCTCAGAACGGCATGTCTTTTTCTTTTATACTTCAGATTATATTTTGCCGCTTACTATGATGTTTGCAATGCATTTATACCATAAACATGAGCATTCAGCCACTTTATGTACGTTTATTTGCATTAATGTGCCTGAAGCCTGTGACTGTGATTAAGGATCATTTTAATAATAGGATGTTAACTTCATGTATTTTTTAAATCGACTGCTTTTATTGTTCAGAATCAGAAATCATTATTAGTCCCACAGCGGGGAAAGTGCACTTCTCATAATGTCTCTTTAATGCATTATTATGCCAGCTTTTACCACTTAATTATCACAGCTATAAGCACTCATTAATATGTATAACAATATTCATGATAAATCATTTTATAAGAACTTGAGAGAACCTGTTTTATAATTATTCATAATTTCTGGTCACTCATCGACATCAGTTGTTTAATAAAGCATTAAAATTAGATAATCAGATACACTAAGTAGTCATTTGGTGGTTTAATTGAGGCGTGTGGCGCAGTGAGCTAGTGCGTTGGTGTTTGGATCAGGGGAGCACAGGTTCAAACCCCACTGCAGTCAGCATGTCGTTGTGTCCCTGAGACACTTCACCCCAAATTGCTCCTGTGGGGATTGTCCACAGTATTGAGTATGTAAGTCGTTTTGGATAAAAGCGTCTAACAAGTGACATGTAATGTAATGTTAATTAAAGTGGACAAAATATAATTGAATCCACACAAGAACAACGCAGAAACCTTAATTATGTTTAACTTTACTTGAAGCACCTAATGCCTTCTTAGATTACATTTAAATCACATTATACTGCATTGTGTATAACAACTACGAGAATTAAAGGAAAATATAGTAAATATCTTACCTTAAAATACCTTTTAAAGAAATATGAATGGTTTTATAATATTGACCGTGTGAGTCAGTTTTAAAATGACGTGTTATTAATCTTGTTTTAAACTATTTTGAATATTTATGAGTGCTTAAAGCTTTCATTAAACAGTGCTTTAAGCAGATTATCACATATTATACCTATGTTTATAATGCATTAAAGACTTATAGACCTTCAGTTTTAGGATAAAAGTTTCTATTTTAGTTTTTTATTACGCTTTTTCTTGTCTATTTTTTTAGATCTTGATGAGTAGATTATAAATAATTTCTCTACATGATGCTCTAAATGTCTGCCAAGTGAAATATCAAAGGAGAAATAAATCAGAAAGGTTCACAAAGACTGTCTCTACTTTTCTCTGTGAAAAAAATATCATGTTTTTTTTAGGCGGGAACAGAAGCTGGTGACTGCTCGTCTGTTTTTAACATTTAAGATCAAATAAAATGGACTTTAATAATGTGTCAAGTTCAAGTGACAAGGCAGCAACAGATTAATAAGAAGCACAGATATTACACAAGGAATATACACCAAGAAAAGTTAAATAGGAATAAACACTTATTAACAGTGAAATATGTTAAACTATGATCCGGTGAATGTCAAAGTCAAAGTCAACTTTATTGTCAATCTTTCAGTTTGTGTGTACAGACAGAGAGATCGAAATACTGGTTCCCACAATCCCAAATATAAAAACAAATGTATATAAAATATTAAAATATGTGTGCAAATATGTACACAGTCAAAGACACATTTTTACATGTCAAATACAGTTAAATCCACTGGACTTCTTTCTGCAGATGTGAGCGTCCTTAACAACGGTCAATAGATCCTTTACAGCGGTCTGTACTACTGGATTAACAACGTGTCACGTGTTCTGAATTGACCAATCAGAATCGAGTATTCAACTAAACCATGTAATAAACTTTAATAATTCCAAAGATATATACTTTATTAATCCCAATTTGGGAAATGATTTTGTTACAGATGCATTACAGATATGTTATACATTTAATGTGCAGGTATTTCAAAGGAAAGTATCCCTTTGTGGGTATGACTAAACTTCTTTGGGAATCAGTCATGCTGTAATGTCTTTATTGAGCTCTGGAAATGTCCTTTTCAGAGTGAGATTAGAGATGACTTTTCTCTCTGTTTCCGCCTCTGACAGTTCAAGGAGACGACAGATAAGATATTTTGCACACTGTTTATGACCTGTACAGTATGAAGTGTAAAATAAGGTGGAGGGTTTATTTAATTAGTTACATAAAGTGTTTACAGCTCCTTCCTTAAAACAGAGGCTTATTTATAACAAGTGGAAATATGAAGGGTAAGCTTGTTATGGAAATAAGTATTTTTTAAATCAACTAAGACTTGAGATGTTTGAACATGTTTTCAACTTTAATTGACTGAATTTATGTGAAAAGTGGGCTAACTAACACATGAATACTGCTGTGTAATATATGTTTGGATATATATAAGAAGTACAATATGAGAAACACATACTTTTTGGTATATTGAGGAGTGAGGAGTGAGATTAGAGATGATTTTTCTCTCTGTTTCAGCCTCTGACAGTTCAAGGAGACGACAGATAAGATGTGTTACACAATGTTTATGACCTGTATACAGTTTAAAATAAGGTAAAGGGTTAAAGGATTTCTCAGGCAAAGGTGATCAGGGAGAACAGAACATCCCGTGGAAACAGTTGTGTAATGTTTCCGTGTTTTATTTTCCATGAGTTTTACCTCATTACATCACCTGCTACCTAGCTTGGCTTGGAAAATACAAATGAACCTGCTTCATGTGAAAAATACAGTCTCCAAATATACATCTAATTGTTCTAAAAAAATAGACTGTAATCAGAGGTGAGAAGTAACTAAGTACATTTACTTAAGTACAATTTTGAGGTACTTGTACTTTACTTGAGGTATTACCATTTTGAGCTACTCTGTACTTCTACCCCACTACAGTTCAGAGGTAAATGGTGTACTTTTCTACTACTACTTTTACTTAAGTAGAGGGTGTGAGTACTTCTACTTTTACTTAAGGTGAGGGTGTGAGTACTTCTACTTTTACTTAAGTAGAGGGTGTGAATGCTTCATTTATGTGGAACTATCTACCAAAAATAACCATAAAAAGGGAGGTAATAGACCTTCAGCTTTAATATTAGACAATGTGCAATAATATTGAACTTTGTTATATTCTAATTCCGGGAAAATGCATCAAACTGGATTGAGTTTTTTGACGAGACAAGCCATAGCAAGTTCACAACTCGACACTGGAGGAAAAGCGTGTGAAAACAGTTTTATCGGTTGTGCAATATTCTGTTGCATTATCCAGACAGACTTGTTCTGGATGTTTTGGGGAAGTTACACCCCCCATCACTTTTAGCCTGTCGTGGTATAAATAGTTTTCCTGAACAAACTCTTCAGGTCACATTTTTACATGAGAGATTTGGCACATTTCTAGGAGGAACTGACGTGACAGACTTCACTGCTTCAAAATCTGACTGAGGTGAAAAGGCTGCTGTAATCTAAACTGAATTGAAGGTAAGAAAACTACCCAAGAACAATTGATTAATGTCATTAAATCACACTGCAATTAGGTGAGAAATGTTGTAATGCTCATGCTATTTTGAGGTGTTGGGACACCCTTTCTTGACAGTTAGCAAGCTAGACAATATATGTATTATGACCACATTACGATGAAATCAGGAGTTGAGTTGAATCAGGATACACTTTATCTAAGACAGCCATGCATTAGTAGCTGAGGCTTAAAAACAATGCATTTCTCTTTGTTTTTGCTTATATTTTAGTGCAGAAAACACATCAAATAGCATAATATCTTATGGGGACGTTTTAAATGCAGTTCTGATGTAGGTTTTAACCAATAATCTTTTATAATAATTGCATACAGGACCCAATAAAGATGTTCCATCAAATGCACTAAACATTTCTTTAATTATATATCAGATAAGTCCTTTTCTGTGCCACAAAGGTGATTTTTTCGACAATCTTGCGACTGGCCAATGGGAAACATTTTTAAACAAGATTGAGCTGTGGTTTTGTTTTTATCTATTTATAATAAATCCATGGTTTTCACACAGCCTTAGAAATACTCCTAGGTTAGGATACCTATAAATGATACTGTGCAAAAAAGGGCGTGGCACTAAAGAAAAAATACACCTTTCTGAACATGATGCTTG